TCTTGGGGACAATCTTTTTGTTTATGCAATCATGCACTACTTTTCAACAGTAGTTCATAAATCACAATCTGTTGTTTAGCCTTGTTATGACCGCACTATTTCATGATGAATCCCTTCAAGTACATATATATAAATTTCCAGTTTACCTCCACTTGTATTATATTGTGTGATCTGATAAAGGCATCAATGAGTTTTAAAAACTCACTAGAAAATGATTAGAAAATAATAATGACGTGCCAGTTTATGATTGAGGATGGACGATTTCAAAGGGACATGATTTGTTTATGTCATCAAAGGGATCGATTTCAAGACTATCCAATCATGAATCATAAAAAAGAAGATCGTACGGTAACTTTTTGGCTGTAAAATACGAAACGAATATGAACAGAGATTAGAATGGAATCTAAACATAATTAATTAGCATCTTGAAACAAAGTGGAAAAACAAAAGATGTTAAGGAAAGCCGAAAAGAAAGAAAACTTTCGAAAAAGAAAAGTTTCTGTTTGGAACTTATTAGCTAGTCTAAGATAAGACTAATGATGTCTTACTTTTTTACAAATGGTCCTGCGACTTTCCACCCTCAAATAGTGGTCAAACCTTTTCCATTTCTTCTTTCTTTCCTCATATGCCCCCTCTTTTGTTCTTTTCAATAAAGTTACGAAAATAATTAAGACTAATACCACTAAATGCATGGATCGATTTGAAATTGTGCAAACTTTTATGTGATTTGTCACTCGTTTTTCAATCAATATGGGTTAGACCTAACATGGTAGACACATATAATATAATACAAATGATACAAAGTTAATTCATTTGAAGCTTTCTTAATTTAATCACAAGTTGCCTCCAATTCATAGGGTGTACGACAAAATGAAATATTTATATTTTTCTATTTTTATTATCAAGTGATAACTACGAGTTAAATTAAATTCGTCTAAAAACAAATCATCTACAATATAATCAATTAAAAATAATGAAAATTTTACTCCTGATCATACTAACAATCCAATTAGAGGTTTCAAACTAATTAAAAACGAAGTTCATTAGCATATTTTATTAATCCTTATTACAACAACTCCTTATATGGAATTTAAATATATAAAATATTTATTAGAAAGTAATATAAAATATATCCCGAGACTTTATTCAACCGTTTAAATTTTTAAGTTAAGATGATTTTTTAACATGATATTAAAATTTTGATAATTAAACAAGAATAAATTCAAAAAATAATATAAATTATATAATAATAATTTTTTGATAGAAATATTTTTTGACACTAGTAAATTGACTTAGATCTAATTAAGGTGATACATACCATATGCATACAACACGCACATATATTATACATCATCAAAAACACTTTTTTCTTACTGTATCCTGAAATCAAACTATAAAATATTTTATAAGGAGATAATAATTCAAAATAAAATAGACAATTAATATTAAATTTGCATGAATGACGACCTCTTTGTACGTGTACGAACATAAAATATTACAAGTAGAGTATATTTTCTATAAGTAGATTGTGCTTAACTCTTTGTTCTAATTAATTAATCTAATTACCCTGAAACGTGTCACCATACAATACAAGAAGCTTAACTGGTCTCCAAATTGAGGACCACGCAGAGGAAACATTGGTTTTCTAGATCAAACCTTCTCTAGCCTGCCACGTTTCATTATCTGACGCCTCATCTGTGCTTCCGACAACAACAAGTCTTTGCTTTTTTTTTTTTTTTTTTTGTTGTTGTTTTAAATCATCAAGTCTTTGCCTTGTTGACATCAATGAATCATTGTTGAGATATTATATATTTTTTAATTCTTGTATACAATAATGCAAAAACTCATGTGACTTGTAATTGTGTAAAAATCTATGTTGTAGGATTTTGTATTTTCATCAGTTAACCAAAGTTTTGGATAAAAGAGGATTAATTCCTCCTTTTGAGTTCAATTTTCATCATCATGAAAGTTCCGTGAACAAGTTAATTTATGTTCTTTTTCCTTCATGCATACATGAAATGAGCATAAATGATAGTGTACATTATGGTAATTAGCTTTTAATTTCATCACCATTTGAAAATAATGAAGAATTTGTCTTATTCACCTTTCTCTATCAACGTAAAATCATAGGTAAAGGGTCAAATATTATTATATTCATCAAATATTGTGATATTTCTACCAAAATTTCTCTATAAGTTTTGACCTATATATCCTTCTTCCTCGTTACCTTGCTTGGATACCCTTCTAACCCCTTGCTCAATTATTCTATTTCAACTTAGTAGAATTAAACCCTTCGATTAGCTTCCCATAAAAAAATTCATGTTGGGACAATAAAAATATTCATCTTCTTGGATTGAAAGCAATGCTATAAATATATTTAAATTTGTACTAAATTTGTACAATTAAAACCCTAATTAAATTGATGAAGATGAATACGTCCGTAATCTTAGGCTTGCTCAATGTCTCCGTGCTTGTTGTCATGGAGACACCCCGTTCTAAATAAGCAATTAAAATGGCCTAATCATCATATTTGTGCATTAACAAGTAAGGTTCATTCGTGCTTAATTATTTAAAAGACTGCTTACATCTTCTACTCGATGTGGTAATTACTTGTCCAGTTTTTAGGGTTTGCTTCATGCATGGGTTACCCAAAGAAGTTTGCATACGTGTTATGTTGACCTCGTCTGCGATTTGGTAGATTATCTAAATTATGTGTTGTTAATTTCTGTTGCTGTGAGCTGTTCATTTTCTTCATGACAATCGTTAATTGTTTTCAACGACTCAATATTTCTTTAAACAAAAGCTGATCACACACATAATATGCAGAGCTATTTTCAGATACGAGATCCAAAACATATGTGGATGCTGTGCCATCTTGTTACTGCATTAAGATAGCCATACACTTATTTTATTAGCACGTAGCTAGTCAATATCTGAGGGACTGATCATCCTATTTTCTAATACAAATAATCTATTTACAGAGACGATCAAAGGTTTAGTGATTGGTATTATTACGTTGGAGAAATGAACACACCTGGCCCTAGTGAAATATCGAGAACTTTCCCATGATTTGTGTGCTTTAAGGGCTTTCTTTATGCGTCCAGCATAAGCATCCTGGTGTACGTGGGGCAAATTAGCAGTTAATAATGGTGATTTCTTTCGATGCTGATGGAGATAAGCCATGATTTCTGAGCTTAAAATCAACGTGGCCAAAGGAGATTGGTTTGAAACTGAAAGGTAATTACAACTTTTCATGTTTGACTTTACATTTATTGGTACAACAAAGCAACAATTTATAGGACACAGTTATTGGACGAAGATCTTTTTGGACGCTGTGGCATATGATGACAAAAGTTAAGGTATAGCTTGGAGGTCACTGGGCCACGAAGGCATGTAATCTCGAGATGTGTAGGGTTACAGAAGTGCTTAGCCCTATGATTTGAGAGGAATTACGTCGGTGTTAAAAAAAGAAGGACAATTGTATGCCATTTAGAGCTGCAACTCCTAAGAAATTCACTCCTATCAGGGCATAGTCAGTGGCCAACTCCCCCACCACCGTCAACAGGCCGTACACAATTATCAACGTGTGGAACTGTTGTAGCAGCCAACACATAGGTAGTCCAAAAACTAAATTCACCATTTGCCAGAGCAGTGCCAGTTACATATAGCTATAGCTAGATTGCACTTTTCAACGAGAAATTAACGATAACTTCGAGTTTTGCATGTGGTGACAATTAATACGAATTGACAATACTACAGTATCTCCCACAAAAAAAAAACAAAAAAAATGAAGAAAGCTGCACAAGAGCGTCTCCATCTCCCTCCTATTGTTTGTGTAAATAAATGCCGACCAAGAACAAACAGAAAAAAACTGTGAGTTCAGTTCTGGCAATAATTGTCTCTAAAAATTTCTTCCATATGACAATGAACATTTGAAAGGTTGTGCCCGATTCAAACAAGTCACATGCACGGATTCTTCATCTAGAAAAACTCTAGCATTAGCATGATGAACACAATGACGCACACAAGATCAAGGTGTAAGAAAATTGGTTTCTTTTTCTTTCTTAACCTTACAACTCAACACTCAATCATCAATCCACGAAATGTCATGCATTGCAGTATTGTTAATTTTGAAAGAAACAATGTCGTCCACAAATTTCTTCTCTAACAGGGTTTTCCTTAGACTTGTGCGTTAATTCAAGCCTGCCTTTCACATGTCATGCTGCATTTCAACTCTTTTAGGCCATTCGCCTATATAGATATTCAAATAATATTGCATAGCCCATGCACCACTTGCAGAAAAAGATTAAACCAGGAAGCATTGACTGGCATTTTTTCTACATTAATACATGGAGAAAATCGATTCCTAATCAGAGAAAAGCTTCGACATAAATGCGCACTATTCGAACACTATACCAAGGAACCTTATGCTCGCTTGATAACGTAATCTTAAAGAGCAATCATCAAATCAAGTGAACTTCGGTGCTGAATGATTCGAGTAACTCGAGTCAAATGTAATTATATGGAGCCTGCCGTTAACGAACAAACAAGAAAATACGTGATCAGGACATCCATCTATCTCATCGAGACATCCCAGTCAAATATGGGAATATCATTCACACAAATTCTAAAATGTCTAGCATACAATAAGCAGAAGTTTGAATCCCCAAAAAACTTTTGGGTCACCAAGCATGAGTTGTTCCTGCAGCTTACATTATCTTATTTTCAAAAATGACCAAGTTCGTCAGCCTGGAAAAAATAAGAAATACAACAGTAACTTCTGGTTCTCCATTTCATAATTTCTTGGAGTTTTACTTCTAACACATGTAACTAATTCAACATAAGAAACTTCGAGGAAAAACGAACTTTGAATGGTCTTCTTGCATAATAATTCATAAGTGCACTTTTGTGGACTGAGTTAAAGATCATCTAAAGAATTGCAGGTTCGCAGAATGAACTAAGGTTCTAAACAAAATGATAGGCATCCACCATAAAAAAATTCATGAAGTAGAAGAAATCATCTCCTGGATCTGGTTATGTACATTCCCATTACTCACAATAACACCCCCTGAAGGGAATAAGATCCTTCTTTCAACCTGATCTGCAGCAAGATCAAGTTCGTTGCCTTTCCAGTCAGTCACCTGATCAAACATAAGTATGTTGAGAGTCAAGAAAAGTTATAGGATTAGTAAGTCACCAAAATTTTGTTTCAAATCATTTATGCAAGAGTTGAATTTTTTTTTCTTTTTTATGAAAAAAATGGAAAAAAAAATGATTAGCTCAGCGAGAACATAATAAGCAAATGGAGTATTTTAGCTTATTGAGTCAACAAGGTGAACAGCCAGGAGTAGACAAACTGAAAGCAAAATGAATTCAGATCCCCAATAAACGAGGATCAACATAGCAATATTTAATTGATCTGTGAAGAGAACAGGATGGAAGAGGGAGAGGAAAATTTCAGTGCGACAAATTTTGGAAACTTTTTGAATTAGTGTAGCCAGCAGCCTGTTTGTCTTCCAGAATAGACAAGCTAAATTAACTCATCAACAGACCAGCAAAGCCAATATCTCAATCCAAAGATAGTCGCATGCACAAAAAGACAATAATCAGGCAACTTTGCAAGAGTAAGCGAAGAATAGTGTACCTTTCCCCCTGCTTCATGGACACATATTATGCCAACTGCATGATCCCAAGCCTATAGCATAAATGTAGTTGAGAAATTAGGTCATGCAACAACAATTTTGGTATTCATTTCTCTTGACATTAAGCAGCATTGTACCTTGATAATCGTCTGAGTTCTTGCTCGAAGAATGAAGACTGATGCTCTGCCTGAAGCCACCATTAAGTACTTGCATAAACTGCATACAAACAGACTTTTATAATGGAAATACCATGGAAAATAATCCAAAATTGATGTGATGGACTTTAGGGATAGAGTAGGAAAGCAGGAGCATAGAGCTGAAGCACAAACAAAAGGGTAGAGTGAGAAGCACAGATGCCAGAGTAAAAATTTAAATGCACGAAAGTAGGGGACTGAAACACAAAGGTTTGTAGATGAAGAAGTAAGACATGAACTTTAAACATCATGTACTAGCATTTTTGTTCAGTCTCACATACTATTCTAAGAGTATTTTGGCAGATACTTCAAAATTAGCATTTCAAAAGCCAAAGTTCAGGACTGAATTGTACTAAATAAACAGTGTAAAACTCCATTCATCACTAGAGATTATGTGGTGAAAAAAATTTAGAACAACTTTTCATGAAATACAAAATGTCTATAAAAGTGCAGAAATCTCATTAACAAGAATTTTTAGCTTTGGAAAATGTAAAAGTGAAGAATGACCCATTATTGTACATGCTGGTTAAACAGTAAAATTGAAGGATGCTGCCTGTCATTCTATGTGCTTTCATAACTAGAATTAAACTTAAAACTTGATTTTGGAGGTCTGCTTTAGTAATTTAGTAGGCATCATTGCTGACATAACGATAAGAAACTTAGAAGACTGAGTGAGAAAAAACAAGATTAAAATCTGAAAGAAACTTACTATGGAAAGCAGGATATGTAAATGGATGGAACAAAGAATAAGTGCAATGCGATAGAGGTGCAAGAGTTTGTAAAGAACAGAACTCAGAAAAAGATCTGACCGGTGATAAGATATGAGACGCTCCAAACAGACAATAAAAACTAGAAATCTTAAAATCAGTGAACTCTATACAAGACATGCTCCAAACAGATAATAAAAAAAAGAGAACTCTTAAAATCAGTGACCTCTTTATCACAACACCTTGGCAATCAAAGTTAAAGTAGGCACATATAAGTAGCACGCTGTAGTTAAACAGCAGATGAATAAGAATAAACCTTCCACAGCATGTCGGCAAAAGAACAATCTCTTTATTGCTCACACTGTCACCATCATTTGTTGCGCTGAAAAAAGCCGATAGTGGCAATGACTCCCATGTCTGACTATCTGGAATGCAAAAACGTGCTTTGGGTACTAAATTGCATCCATCAACAAAGCGCCTAGTCCAACCATTAGGCACTTTGGCTGATTCACCCATCAGATTTGATAGCCTCCTTGCCCATGTTCCACAGCCAACAAGAGCCACCATTATGATCCCTGATCTGGATGGCATACTTTCAGATCCTTGAACATCAGTGGTGGATTTGTAGGAAATAGCCTCCTGCCAGTTAGGGCAGCCCATGACACCTAACACAATCTCTCCTTCAACTACAAGAGCTAAACCTACCTGAAAAAATTGCAGTGTTTGCTCAGCCAAAGGAAACAGCCAAGGGAAAAGTTCAAAAAACAAAAGTGATTTTCCTTGGAATATACCAAAGATTCCAAAGATTCCTGAGAAGACACGCACATGCAACTTAAATTGTTTCCTTGGAAACCAAGGATTTGGGTTCAATTTTTTGTATCTGTTAAAGAGTCAATGCAGCCACTACAAATGAAAATAGAATATACACATAGCACTTGGCATTGCTCAATATAACTGGGCTATTCACTTAGCTTAATTGATTTTCCTTGGACATAAAGCGTTATCCAGGATCTTTTTGGATAGGAAATCATGTAAGGCTAATTTCAGATAAGGATGGCAGGATCGAGAACCTAAACTTAAGGATTTGGATGACAGAAAAAGCCTACATACAGGACCATCATTGGAAGGTATAAAGGCTATTCAATTAGCTTAATTGATTTTACTTGGATAGAAAGCATTATCCAGGATCTTTGTGGGTAGGAAATCATGAAAGGCTAATTTCGGATAAGGATCACGGGATCTAGATACTAAACTTAAGAATTTGGATGACACAAAAAGCCTGCATACAGGATCATCATTGGAAGTTAAAACGATGATAATTCTTCGATAAGAATAACAGCTACAGCAACAATAAAAGATTATGTGTGCATGCAGAAAACATTCCATTGGATCATGTAGGTCACCTTAAGATGGAACTATAAATGTGTAGTTCAATCAGTGTATCTGAATTCAAAATAAAGCATCATTCAGGAGTTTTAAATTATGTTTTCTGTATTTCATCTCAACAAATATAATCCATTACATCGCCATGTCACCTGTACTGAACCATCAATACGACAATATATGATAGAACCCTCTGTTCTCAACTGTATGCTGCCTACAGCTGTTAACTTCAAGAAAATTCTATCTTCCATAGGAGATCAAACACTTGGATGAACAGATTTCATAAGGAACTGGTTCTACCAGTATACAAAATGTTTACATTAACACCAGTCATTACTTTAAACATGGTGATATTAGGACAAAATATCCCAGACCGTCAACTATAGCTGCTAGAAACAAGCCAATCTGATTTGTAAACAGGAAGGCACTTTCATAGGAGACAAAAAATTATTACCGTTGTTGTATGCTTACACCTTTTGAATTTAACGAATTGTAATCATACTATTTTAAGCAAACCTTTCCAATTTCATAAAAAGTTCTCAGAAAAATAAAATAAAAGAGAGACAGGAAAACATAGTGCATACCACATACAAGGCTTCACTTCCTTTCAAAAACCCTCTGGTGCCATCAATTGGATCCAGTACCTGCATTCGTTGTGAATTAGCTGCAAGTCTTGATGCAAACACAAGAGCAAACCTATGATACTAAACACTAAGTCATACGATGCAACAGCAGACCACCACCACAATTATGGAAACAGAGGTATGTTCAACTTATTACATGCATCAGAGCACAAAATCATTACCACCTCAGTGTCCAAAAAAATACTAAAGACATGCATATAATTTGAATGATTAGTTCCCAACATACAAATAATAATTATGACTGAAAATTTCACCCAAGTAATTGAAACGCTTGCTTAGACTTACCCAATATGTGGCTGGCCTGTTTCCATAAACAATAGCACTCTTTCCTCCTCTATCGATTGCTTCCAAAATATCAGCATTTGTCAATGGCTTATCACTGGAGCTTGCTTTATCAGTAACCACACTCACCACAGAATCCACCAGATTATTAGAACGTACAAAATCAGAATCCTCTTCAGCCACCAATGGAATAGAAGGGAACGCTTTACTCAATTCTTTCAACAAAAACACAAACCAAAAGTTCTGGTTAACGAAAACAAAAATTGTCAAGCATATCCATTGAACAATAACTAGAACATCGTAATAGTCCATTTCAGAAAGATAAACTGTTACCTAGGACTAACATCACATCACCAACAAACTATGTAAATCACCCAAATCCCTTGGAGTTGTAGTAAATTTACAAAGAGGTTCGCATGATATCCAACACAAAATGCAACATGCATAAAAGAAAACCACAGCCGTTAAGTGATGCAACCGTCGTGAGGCCCACTAATTCGAAGACACTGACTTTTCATGTGATGCATTTGTGCATCTCTTTTCAAGGAAAAAAATAATTACACTACACAATATAAACCTAATATTTTTACCAATGTTCAGTCAACTCAAACCAATTCTTGCTCTATGTGACTGAATATCCAGTCAGGCGAACTAGCATCGGACAATGCAAGGGCAAATGTCAGCTATACCTGACCTACAGACAGTTGATCATGCAATATGAATAACTGTTCCAGCATAACCAAATGTCAGGTCAGTTTTGATCGAACATTACAATGCAACAAATTTGCCAAATGTAATGGAAAAAGCTAAGAGAAATTCTCTAATAAAATTAGAACAAAATTCTCCCAATTAAAAGGCATCATATATTCAACACCTAAAAAATCTAATTAGTAAATGTTCCATAAGTGAGCAAATTTTTGTTAATTTTTAGCATAATTCACTTAGCATAAAAGTGAATACAATTTAATCTTAACAAATAATTATTTAAAAAAAAAAACTAAGGTTTTAGTAAATTACCCAAACTGACTAAAGCCTGCACTCCAAAATCAGCAACTGTAACTGGAGTATTATCATTCTTCTCAACGACACTTCCTTCACTAGAAAACAAAGACTTTTTCACCTGCATTAAAAGGAAAAAAAAAAAAATCAAAATCACACACAATTTTTCTTTTCCTTTCTCACATTTTCTCGGGAACCAAACAGAATAAAAACAATTACGTCAAGGCAAATACGACACGCTCTCTCTACAACATCCACAGCAGCTTCGAGCTCCCTATGGTACTTCGCATTCTGATTTGTGAATGGAAGAAGACTCGACCTGAAAAATAATTACGAATTAATGGAATTTTAATTTGGAGAGGAAATGTTGATTGGATGGATTAGAGGAGAGACCTTACAGGAAGGAATCTCGTGCGGACGGTGGAGAATTGCAAGGATGAATGGAGGAGATTCATCGATGATGTGATTTAGAGCTCAGCTACTGGAGCTGGAGCGGTTACTGTCTGGAGAAAAGGAGATAATATTTAACGACGACACAAATACACGAACAGGCTCAGAACAGAAGGACAGAAAATGGGTCATATTTACAACCATTGCCATTATGAGTGTTGGGTCTTTCTTTCGTTACTTACAATTCGTGATCCTGAGTTGGCGGAGGAGGATGCTGCCGCTGGGGAATGTGGGCAAAAGATGCTAACGGGATGCGTCCTGAAACTCTCCTGTTTTGTTTCCTCTGTAACTCTTCTTATTTTCGTAACGTAGCTTTTCCTTTGATTTTCTTGCCATATATAATTTTTCTTTTTGTTTTTTTTCATGTGACAAATAAATATAACATACAATGACCTGTAGTATTTTTTTTTTTAAAAAAAAAACAATGACATTAAACACGAGTTATTTGCGTGTAAATAGTTAATTAGTAGACGACGTACATAGATGAAGCTGCTAGGTGTGAAGTTTTGTAAAAATAACCCATAAATAGCTAAGACTTTTTTTTTCTTTTTAACATCTGTATAACTTTCCATTACATGAACTACACATGTAAATAAAATATTGTAATAATTACTTGATTAAAGTGGGGCATTGTTACTCACGGGAAAGTCCAAAATTGAAAGCAACAGCTACGCTAACTAAAAGCGAGGCATGCATTTGTATCCTGCATGTGAAATAAATGCTTTTTTTTTTTTTTAATGGGTAACTAATGGATATATACAGGGTAAAAGAATGGTACTCATATCTATTAGACTAATTATCAATTAACATAAATGAATAACTCTTTTTACTCGTATTTGACTTATTATTCATTAGAATATTTTAATAGATAATTAATGAGTTGGGTTGGACTAATATTTATTTTATATTCTATCCAATGCCATCCCTATATATAAGTCTATTAATTCTACATTAAAAGAGAGGTTCAATGGAAAAATACATAGAGAGACCATTCTGTGTATTCAAAAATTTGTGTGATACATGAAGAGAAGGAAAATATCATAAATTAAAATGAGAAGAAAATTGAAAACCCTAAACTCCATATAGAATCCATGCTAAGATCGAAATTCCATAAAGCCTTTGAAAACGAGAAACATAAAACAAAAGGTCTTATAAAAAAAGTCCAACCCAAGACCCAAATCGCTTAAGCCTACAACCGAAGCCCGGATTTCTAAGCCTGTGACAAGAAAACACAAAGGCCCAAAATCAGAAAATTATATATATATTACAAAATATTTGATGGCGAGTAAATTATAAATTGGTTTCTCTATTTCAAAAAAGCCATTTTAAGTAGTACTTCTTGTTTGAAAAATTAATTATTCAATTTTTTCATGAGTGTTGACTATTTTTAATTTAATATTATTTTATTTCATAAAATGTCATTTTTTTTCATAATATTTCTATATTTTTATTTATTTATTCTATTTTTAACCAAAAATCAAAATAAATATATTAAAAAAAATTAAGTTACAAAAATATTAAAAATATAAAATTAAATTAAAATAAGAAATAATTAATTTGCTTTTTAAACCTAAAGGAATTAATTTATAATTTACTTTCTGATAGTTTATTTCCGTCACAAGTGCCACAGTAAATGTATCCTATGAACTTTACTCTATTGATTTTAATTGCTAATAACTCATTTGCTTATCTGAAAATCTATCTAAAAAGATGTAAAAAAATCTAATTTTATTTTCTAATATTATGGTTTTATATCTGTTTGACAGTTCCTTTTTGTACCATTTGCAGCTGTTGAAGACATTCACATTTCATGGACAATAGACAAAACATTGACAAATATTGGTCTCTGTAAAATACACATATATTTGTACTCTTTTTGTTATTTTTGAGGATGTAAATACACCAATATCAACACAATTTCGTAGTTGTGCTTGTGTATTTACTGAAGATGTCGGTTCAACTTTAAGATGTGGCTCTTCAGAAGGCTTTCTTTCTTCCTATGAGCCAGAGCCAATCAAGAACAACCCCTGAAAATATGCCACCCAGTAAGCATAGCACAGGCAAATTATCCAATGCATTTGCCTCTGGCCCCTCCAAAACCAAAACCATCAACAAATTGTCATGTGTAAGCAAAACAAAAGTATTACGTTTGTTGCACATCATGGTATTTGATAACTAACCTTGTAACCTCTCGGAACAATTGTAAGGACACAGACAGTGAGGTAGCCATTTGTTAGTCCCAAGAAGGAAACGAGAAAGATCATCCGTCCTTGATCACCATATTTTGCAGTGAAGTAGAATGCAGGAACGAGGAGGAAACGAGAGAGACATGCAGTCACGAGGCCCTTCCTAGACTCCAACTCCAACCATGGAAAAAGGGGATGTGTCTTGACATAAGATCCAACACATTGTACATTGCAATTAGAACAAGAGGATACTTGAAACATCGCTAGTCATGAGAGCTAAATTTTTTTAGACCAAATCACATATTTTCTGGCATAACATGACCGAAGTTTGGAATCCCAGAGATTAAAATATATATATATATATATATATATATATATATACATATATATAGAAATTACATGCCTCATAGAGACCATTAGTGGGGCTGTAATCCAAAACAGAAATGTTTATGGAACATAATGCTATAGTAGTTGTTTTAAAAAGAAGGGCAAAGAAATATCATCCTCTTGTGCTGTCTCACTTCAAATGATACAGAACTGGCCCTTATGTGAAATGAATGTTGCCTCATGAATGAGCACTTACCATGTGCCCAACTGGTGTTCCAAGAACCCCAGGAAAATCGATATGCCAACACGTATATCAGATATAGGTCAAGTGCATAATCTATGTTCTGGAAGAATAGTTCTTTGCTGCTTAATCGCTCTGGATGTTTAGCAACATCAGCAGCCTGCAAGAACTGCAGATATTGAATAATTGATAAGGGTGTGGAACTTTTTCTTGAGCAACATTTAATATATGAGAAATAATGGTCATCTTTTCAAGAAAATGAACACCAAGTAGAGATTAAAAAAATATATATGTGGCAATACTTGTTGGTTTGCTGGTGTTTGGATGCTAGCAGCAGCAAGATCAGCTGAAACAGTCTTTGATTCTTCTGAGGCTGCCTTTGAGCGGTAGTACTTTACCATTGGCAGTCTAGGAAAGAAATATACATACAGTAGAACACATAGGAATTCCGATAAAGTTGAGATTCCTAGAAATAGCACTGCAAACATCGGCAATCAAGTCTGCAGCTCAAAATGACAAGTCTTACCAAAAAACTAGTATTGGTATTTACCAATTGGTCTGAAGTTGTGTGACAACTACTTTTATTATTATGCTCAACTTATCTTACTTGTATATTGTCCTTTTACTTTTCTGCTAACGGCATACAAACTGATCACTATGGGATTCCTAACCACAATCTCTTCTAACTGTAATAACATGACCAACTTAAGTGTCAAACAGCATTCCAGCTGATGAATAAAAGAAATAACAGTAAAAGATAACAAATTTCAGTATTGCTCAAAGAAAAGTGACATACTAATGCCCTTGCGAGGACCATCTTTAGATTTACCAAATGCTGCTTTTGTGATCGATCTCAGACCAGAGGTCAGGGTTCCTGATGCAGCCAACCCAGCAAAAAATGACTGCAGGAAAAGAAATCCAAGGTGTTGTGGTAAGATGGAAAGTTCTTTACTCTTAAGAGTGGAAGGATAATTGAAAAAGAAATCCAAGAAGTGTAACCTGTATGAATTCAGGGCTCATAAAAGCCATGTCTCCAACCATTCCACCTTTAACAAGAGCATCTGCAACTCCGAAAGCAGCAACAATAGCACATACGCCAACGAAAGGTCCAATTCCTCCTTTTCCTGATGTCGCTAAATCCACCTATCACAATTATCAGAAGCAATTAATCATGAAATAAAAATGTTGATAAGAAAGAAATTAAACAATAATAGTCTGGATTTGTTCAAGCTACTTACAACCATAAGCATGAGAGTACTTGCAGTGAAGAGGATGCAACCGACTATTTTCCGCTTTCTAGTATTGATCTTTGCCTCATTGTATGCTAGTATTGCGATTGCCCCAAGTGCAAATGGTTGATAAACAAGAGTAAGTACCCTTGAAGGATGGTATTTCTTCGAACACAATGAAAAGCATTTTGGCCTGCTCCAATTGAACATATAACCTTATCTAGACTCAATGACTGTTTAAACTATGAATCTCAAAACCTTAAAACTCTCTACCGTACTTTTAAGAATAAAGATAGATATAACTCATGCAGGAAATGTAATTTTCAAAATTAATTAGTGAAATAAAATTTAGGAGCAACCTACCGGAAACAAATTAACTATATAGTCAGCATACTGTTCCATGCGACAAGAGACCTAAGTCCAAGAAACCAACATGCTATAATTCCTTTATGTTTTCCCTGCATATCACAGAATTAGAGTCAAAATCACTTTAGCTCACTAATTGGAAGAAATTTCAGTAGTATTGTAGCACAAACCCCAAGCCTTGTTGGAGTTGAAGCATCAATATTTCCATTTGCAATAGTAATGGCTAGCACCTACAAAATGATAAACCAATGTCAATATCATGTTCTTGTAGCATAAAAGCACGACTAAACAATAATTATCAATTTGGAATTTCAGCGGAAGAACAAGATAATAGTGTTTTACTCATGATTCTGAATCTGGAATCCTGATGGCCAAAGTTAATTAAAGAAATCACTTCGAATACATGGCTGCATGAAATATCTGTACATATTTATATATTATATATACTATCAATAAAAGAAGCTACATTATCAAGATTAGCACAGAAAAGAAGGAATGGGCTCACCTTCTTTATTTCATCTTTGAAGAGAGCTTCTTGCAAGATTCCTTAAAAAACAGAAAAAAAAAATCACATAATTAAGAAACAAATTAGTAATGGAAAAGATAAAATAATTGGCATCTGAAAGCAAAGAGGTTAACTGGTGATTCAAAGGGCCAACGTGAATGCCAAGTGAGTGTAATAGAATCCAAAATAACATAGAATTATTGGAGGGAAATGCTAGATATAAACATCAAACAGGCCGTTTCGGTTTCAAGTCCTTTTCTTTACTTTTTTGTTTTATTTATTATATTTTTTGTGATATTTTGTAAATTGAGTAAATTGTAAATTAGTCATTTCTTGTTTGAGAAACTAATTAATTAATTTTTCTTGTTTTAAAAACTAATTATTTAGTCTTCGTATTTTTAGATCTATTTGTAATTTAATCTTTATGCTCTTTTTCAACTTATTTTAATTTTTTAAATAGAATATATATATAATAGATGAAAAAAAGATATTTAATAGAATAAAATTAATATTAAATTAAGCATGTTCGACATTGGTTAAAAGATCAAATAATAGTTTGTGAAATAAAAAAATAATTTATTTATTTATTTATTGAAACTAGACAAACTAATTTATAATTTACTCTTTGTGGTGTAACAATGACTTCTTTAATTATTGGATAAAATTCAAATTTATGCATAATTGAATATGTGTTAATTAACTTTTAATCTACTTAGAAAACATATAAAAATTTAAATAACCTCCATTTAAAATGAAAAAATAATAATAACTTTCATTATTTATTTAAGTGGTTGTAGGAAGCAAAAGCCACATTAATTAGTGGATGCAACGAAGAAATGGATTTTTTTCTTGATTTTATCCTTTGGGATTAGTAAAAAAAAAAAGGAAAATGAAATTAGCCTTTAATTTTTATTTTTAAATGGTTTAATGGCATTTGTTGTTCTTGGACTATTAGGATTGTGACAAAAATGAAGCCTATACTATTAATTTGATAAATTTTGAACTTTTAACTATTATAGTATGAATAAATATTGTTTTTTCATTTGATTTGACCGTTTGTATTGGTGGAAAAACCTCTCATTAAAACGCTTCAATATGCCAAAACTCTAATAATATAAGAGAAAAAAATATCATTAAACTGAGAATTGATCGTTAGGAATAAGTTGGTCAATTTATTCAAATAAACACAAGAGGGAATTGGAAAATCAACAATTAAATGTAAGGTCTAAATTATAAAGCATATGAAAAAAAGGACTAGAATGAATAATTGCCATCTCAAATGAAACAATTTGAAAATTAAAGAAAAAAATTAAATTAAAAAAAAAACCTAAATTCATGGAAAAGAGCAAAGGAAAAAAATAAAAAGAAAAGGCATGTATAGTGAAACAACTTTAAACAATATATATATATATATATATATATATAATCGTTAATTTGTGTGGAAAAAAGTGATGATTGATTTTTTAAAATTTTAACGCGTAATTAAACAAAAAAAAAAACATAAATTGATGATAAAAAAAATGCATGAGTAATGCATCGGATAGAGAATTAAAAATTTTTATTTTAAAATTTTAGAGACGAAGATAAAACAACCTAAAAATTAAATAAAAAAAGAAGCTAACTTGATGAAAAAGACAAAGGAAGAAATAAGGCATGTATTCACAACAACTTGAAACAAAAAAAGGAAAAAAGGAACGATATTCGAAAAAAGAAAAAAGTGAACAATACTCGATAAAAAAAGAGGTGAACGAGTTGTGACTCATATCTTTTAGATATATAGTAATATGGAGCCAAACAATTTTACTTGTAGTGGTCTCCATAACCTTATATTCAACTTTAGTTGTGGAGTAATAGACAACAAACTGTTTCTTGAATTATCAAAAAATTGAAGAAGACCAAATAAATATGATGTAGCCAATGGTAGAATGACGAGTAACTAAACATCCGGGTTAGTCCGCATCACAATAGCCTTTCAAGGACAATGAACCATTAGAAGAAAATAAAATGCCCCGTCCATGGATGCTTTTTAGATAATGAAGAAAGTTAATGGTAGCACCAAAGTGAGACTCGTAGCGACTAGTGCATGAATTGACTCGGAATATGTACTTGCATAACTAATATCTAGTTACATGATAGTGAATTAAAGCAAATGCCCAACAAGGCGATGAAATTGGCGAGAGTCATCATGATGGGGACCGAAATCTAAATCGAGCTTATTACGTGGATCTATGGATGAAGATGATCGCTTGCAACTAGTAAAGATCGCATTCGGTTAATATATCGGGAACATATTTACGTTTACTCAAAATAATGCTAGCATGAGATCATGCAACTTTTAGGCTCAAAAAATAATTGAGTTTATCAAAATCTTTAATATAGAATGTGATGTCCAAATATTGTTTGAGTCAATAACTTTTAGCATAATCAATTCCCATGATGATTAGCTCATTTACATAAATAAGAACATTAACAAAGGAATCTTGTTAAGAAGAAGTGACCAAAGAGTGATCAAAAAATGACTAAAGGAAACCCACTGTGAGTGAAGACTAAATAAATTTTTGATACCACTTGTAAAAAGCTTGACGAAAATCATAAAGAATGTCATACCTTAGTTTTGACCCTCCAATATTTATTTTAGATATTTTACAAGTTTCTTTTATTTTATTGCATAATGTAGATTTTCATGAATTTTTATTATTATTAGGTTTGTTTTATTTATTTTTTAATTTTAGTTTAATTTCTCATTCATCACCTGCCATAAAAAAAATAAAAATAAAAGAGAAAGAAATAAAAAGAAATAAGAGGAGAAAGGAAAATGGAGTCAACTGTGGCTTAATTAAAGGGCTCAATTGAAAAATGAATTAAAAGTTGTGGAGGTCGAATCAGAAAGGACAGGAATACTAAGGAAGCAATAAAAAAGGATTGAGACTAGAAGGATCGAAATGCTCAAAATGGGAGGATTTGATTGGAAAGAAATGAAAACCCAGAAGGATGTGAATGGAAGGAAAGCGCGAACGACAGGACGAGCTTAAATGTTCATATTAAAAGACATGTCGTCCACTTTTTTAATCCTCAAAATCTCTGTCATGCATTGTTCAACTTCCTCCTCAGAACTTACCTGTTTCAGTCCAAAACAAAACAAAAGAGGGGTGGGCTGGCAGTTTGTCTTAAGGTTTCTCTTCCCTAACAATACACAAATATCCCTCTCCCCCTCTCTCTCAGTTTGTTTGATACAGGCTGCAAGTGATTTAAAATATCCTGTTGAGATAACCTTTCTAGCGAGCGGCCTGGGTTCGATAAGTTCTTAGTGAGTTCTCGAGGCAAAAGAAAAAGGGTATCCAGATTCTTTCTCCATAGTTTGCAGCTTCGGTACTTTATTATTCTTAGGTCCTGCTTACAGATGAGGGGAAAAAAATAAAAATGAGAAAGCATTAGGAGGAAGGGTATGACTGGGAATAGAAACGTAGGAGGAGCGTAACGCAGTATGATTTTTAAACGATAATTGCATAAATACATAAATATATAATTATTTTAATCTAAAACGTTGAAATTATATTTTAAATAATTTATTTCAATCTATTCGTCATGATCACAACGAAGAAACAAAGATATTGAATTATAGATTTTATTAAAAATTAACAATATATTTTCACATATAATACTAATTATTTATTATAAATATATATTTTTTAATAATATAGAATCAATCTCTTTGAAATAAAATAGTTAAAATAATTTTTTTAAAAGAACTATCCCATTATTCAAATATATTTTTTATACTAATATTATTAATTATTTTGTAAATAAATATATATATAAATCACTTGCATATACTTTCAAAAAATAATCTTCTCATCAATATAAAACAGGAATAAAAATTTATTTTTTATTAATTAAATTTTATACATGTCTATACATTAATTGTAACTTTATTTTTTAAATACATTCTTATGAAAAATATATTTTTATACTTTTTTTAATTATTGATTAATATTTCAATTTAAATTATTATAAATCTTTATTTAAGAATGAGTGTATAAAGAGGAATAAATAATGTTTTCAAAGTAAAATTTTTATGAAAAATAATAAAAAAATAAGTAAACAAAAAAATTTAAGAAAAAATCATAAAATTTGAAATAATTTTATTATATCCAACCCACAGGTTAACAATTATAATTTCGAAAATTAATCTTTTCATCAACGTTAAATAATAATAATTTTTTTATTTATTGATTTTTATACCAGTCTAGCAATTAATTATAATTTTTTTGAGATATAATCTTATGAAAGTATATTTTAAAGATTTTTTTAATTTTTTTTAATATTTAAATTTAAATTATTATAAGTTTTTATTGAATCAATCCCAAAAAAATATTTTCTTAAGTAAAAAATTTATAAAAAAACATTAAAAAAAATTAATTAAAATAATTTTATTTTGAGGGATCATAGTATAACGTGGATGACCGGCTAGTCGGTTACCTCAGCATCTATTTTTCAAATAAACCGTACTTTTCATGCGCTTAAAGTCTGAGAAAGAAAATATCTTAATCAAAATCAGAATATTATACTCATAAACAAAAATTTAAAAGAAATTCCAAGCACCAAGCTTCCAACAATCCTGCTCAGACTATGTCGTGTCCTTATCGGCTTATCCAAATCCCCCTCTCATGTAACAGACACGTGCTACCAACCCACAGGATCAGACCCCCACGCCCCCGGTTTCCTTAGCAATCTCCGCTGAAATTCACCTATCGTAGCCGGTTGTTTTCCAAAACCTGGACCTCGACAAAGCTTTCTCCATAAGTACATGAAAAAGTTTCCTCTAGATAATCATCAAATCAAAATCCTGTTGCTGTTTTCCAGATATCTCCATAATTAGCCTAAGCAAACCTTTCATATTTTATTTTTGGGGTCTTTTTTGCTATTTATACATGAGCAAGGTGTCGTACCAATCAGGAATGAGAGTGGTTCAAGGGATGAAAGACCAAGCATCAAAGGGTGATTCAGGTACTATCAAGTCTTTGAGAGATTCTGCTTGCTCTTCTTCTTCAAAGCAGGCAAGGCGTTTCTCGGGTTCTGCTGATTCAAGTGCTTATAGGATTGCCGAGAACGACAAGTTTAAGCAGGCTGAGGAGTCTCTTAGGACTGTCATGTTCTTGAGCTGCTGGGGTCCTAACTGAGCATCATCAAGAGCCAGCAAGCTGTTGTTCATATTGTCTGTTTAGCTGTTAGGAAAATATTTTTGCACTAGTTGATCGATTAACTTTCATGAGTAAATACAAAATATATGTGCAGTCTGCGCTGATTCCTGAGCTGAATGTTATGTTACTTTCTTCTGAATGGATGAATGTTCTAGTGTATATTCAATTATGAAGCTTTTATTTGTGTGATTTATTTTCGTTATGCAAAAAATACCATTAACATCAAATTAGAGAAAGGAAAACTTAATTCCATGATTTTGAGAAGTATTTCATCTTCCTTGCCATTAATCTCTTTCTTTCTTTTTCTAGATTATGTTAATCATTCTCACCTGTGCTTAGATGGGCCAGTTCACTAGGAATTGGGCTTGAACAGTTTCATGTAAGCCCAAAATCCAATTCGAATGTACATGCTATAGGTTCCAAAATGGCCCAATTATGGGAGGAAACAGAGTGACGGTTTTTTTTTTTTATATCTATATTCTAATCTCTATCTCCACCACATAAAGAGAACAGAACTGATAAGCTAGCTTGTTCCGTTTTCCTCAACCTTCAAGTCCAAAATTCTGAATACCATTCCTCAGAAATTCTCAACTGAAAACTGAACAATTATGACTTCACTTAAACTTTACAAGAGTTGTTATCAATCACCAATAATTCTCTCCAAGCCCCACAAAAAGATGGTAAAACAGGCCACTTTTGCTACAAATAAGTTGGTTCGTAGAAGAAAGCTAGCAGTGAGAGGATGTAGTGGACAAGAATCTGAAAAGAAGACAGAAAGAAAAAGTTTCTTAAGTCCTGAAGAAGCTGGTCTAGTTGAAATATCTGGTTTAAGCAGCCACGAAAGGTTCCTATGCCGTTTAACGGTATTTCCCTCCCTCCAGACTTTGTTCAATACATACCAACATGCATGCATTGAAGTATTACTGAATAGTTTCTTTTATTTTATGTGTTATAGATATCATCTTTAAACCTTTTAAGAGTTATATCAGAGCAAGAAGGGTGTGCTATTGAGGAGCTGAATGCTGGGAGAGTATGTGACTGGTTTTTGAAGGATAAGCTGAAAAGAGAGCAGAATATGGAGTCTGCAGTCCTTCAATGGGATGATTCTGAACTCCAATTTTGAGATTTTGCTGTCTTCTCTTAGTTAATTAACAAAAAGGCACATTTAGGAAATCATGGGGCTGAGTTAGTTGTTTGTGGAGTATAAGTCTATACATGTTTTGTGCCTAATTATCTTTTCTTATAAATTAATAGCACCCATATTAATCCAGTTTCTATGATTGATTTCACAATGGAAGCAATTTAGACTCATAATACCAGAACCCCGCAACTTCCAACTAAAATCATAGTTGTAAATGTGCCTTGCTCATGGCAGATGGCACATTGGGCAGGCATTAGGCTCCCCAACTCTTTACCACTTTAGAGAGGCATGTGTTTCTGGTTTAACACAATTCTTGACCAAATCATGCTCTGGTAGGTTTATGAGCTCGCCAGCATTCCCTGGCACAATGATCTAATAATCTTGAGATCTGAGACACCAAACACTGAAAATCTCTCGAGGGAGGCTTTCGTTATTTCCTCATCACTCATTAGTTACTTCATCATTCTAGCATGTCGCACGAAAATTATTGAACATTGGAGACTGATGTGGATGAAGATCTATAATATAAAACGCTATACAGATCTAGTTAGGCAATCTCGTTAGCTGATTAGTTGGAAGGGGTTAATGAGGTGGAATCTTCGAAAAGTCTATAGAATGTTGGGCTAGATCTATAGACCTGTTAAGCCTTTTTTCTTATAACTTTAATTATTCACACAATAAATAATGATAACATAACTTATATTTGTAACTGCTATTTAATAAAACCTAATAAGAAAATTTGATAAAACTTAATAAGAAATCTTAGTATAGCTGTGGAGAAAGTACTATTGTCGAATCACGTAAATTATTTATGTTGTGTGATTGTTTTTATCTTTGGACTTTATTCTTTTACTTGATTAGTTTGTTAACAATTAAAAACTGCAAAACAGAACACTAAAAAGCAAATAGAATATGCTTTAGTCAATTTCTCCTCCCAAAATAACAACTCAGTAATTATACCAGATATAGGCAAGGTGAACTTCCAACAAAGATACCAAGAAACCGACCTCAACCAACCAGCTCCCCAAGGTAAATTCTTTGACATAGTCACATGACCAATATCCTGAAGAAGAATTTCCATCATGTCCCATAGGAGTTCATATGTCTTTCTGACAAGATAGCAATCTCCGAACACTCAAAATCCAATGTCCTAAGCCAGGGGTTGAAAATCTAAGCAGCAGTCAAGCAGAGGTTTTGCAATTCGAAACACGAAATTTCATCTTCCACGCAAGCCCCCTAATCTCAGAAGATTGAACTACTGAAGATTATGTTCTGAAATTTCAAACTTGTCTCTGTCTGTGTCTGAATAGGCACTTATGACCGATTTTTTGAAATTTCTATTAGCAAAATTCAAGACACTGATTCCACGAAGATCACAGAATTACGAAAATTTCAAACAAAGGGTATCCCTCCATCATATCTCTGATCCTTTCACCTCTATCATATCCCTAGCTAGAGTGATCATGCGAATCCATGTAGTGACCTAAGAAGAAATTAAATGACCATACAACAACGTAACTGAGAATTTCTCAACATTATGGTTTGATTTCCTGTTATGAAGAAGCATTAAGGCTCCATTAACAATGTCAGCGAAATATTTGCTAGTGGAAGCTCTAAATTGCCTTGGATTAAAAATGAAACCGAGGCAGTGTCTTTACTGCATCTTTTTTGGCGGCCAAAACAGAGAGAATACGGCAGCCGGGCAATTGCCTGATTCGGTCAACCAATAAATATTGTTCGCAAGAACTTCGTTTAGCAATATTGGGCCGCACTTGCATTCGCCTTTTTCGTCTCGGATGTTTGTACCGTAGCTGTTTCCTATCCTCTCTACCTCGTACATCGGTCATGACTGAAATCTATTGTTGTCTTGATTCTTTTGCGAGGATAAAGATACTAGAGAGAGATAAATGAACGGATGATCATTTGTTGGATTCCAAGAGGACTGGCAAACATAAATAACAAGTGTTCTTCCATTTTCCTAATCTCTTACTAGAATTCAAATTAATTTCATATTCTTTCACAATTAAATTGCCTGAATATAATTTTAACTAGTGATGGTAATGGATTGAGTACCTAGTCTATTAAGCTAATCACATACTCTGCTCACTAAAAAATTACTATATTCATTATCTACTAAGAATTATTTATGTATTTCTTTACTTAATACACATTCACTATGGCATATCCTGCCTGTATCTTATCTATAATTATTTACCTGTTAACGTTTTTTTTTCCCAAATTGAAAACTTTTTTTCCTTCAAATTCGTGACCTATTTGATATTTAATATAATCTTTGTTTACTTATATTAATCAATTGTTTAAATACATCAACGAATAATGAATTTTTTTATTGACATGGACGAAGAAATTACTTATATATGAGCTCTGAATTGTCAATAAAGGAATTGAAAACATTATTCTACAAGTTACTAAAAAATGATTTTTTTTTTTATTGATATGGATGATGAAATCACTAATAACACTATTCTGCTTGCTAGAATATAGGTGGATGCACTTTCTTGATCAGGCTGTCTTATAATTTTAATTCCTAATCATCAAGTGAGCGACAATTTTAGACAGCTGCAGTCGGCCAATGGTCATGCACCCAGATTCGATCACACTCCTTAATTTGAAGTTTTATTTTTTCATTTTATGTTAATAGGTAAGTAATGGGTATCAATAAGATAAAAGGAGTTCATCTATATTTATGAATTAATTATCTATTAACATAAATATATAATATTGTTTTATTTATATTTAATCAATTACCCATTAAAGCATTTTTGAAAGATAATTAATAGGTGGGTTGGGAAGGATACATATTTTGTATCCAGCCCATTAATTGTCACCCCTACTTCTTACTAATTAATTTCCAATTCTAATCATGTTCTTTATGTTTACATAAAATTATCCAATCAATCTCATCTAATAAACATCCGAATAAAGAAAAAGTTATAACTTATTTAAGATAATTTAAAAAAAATTAATTCAAATTTAAGGGAAGTGGTGTTATCCTAAGACTTTATTTTATTATAATTTAAATTCTATTATATCAAATTTCAGAATATCTAACATTTCTTTATAAGAAAAGACCATATAAGAAGAAGAGAGTGGACTTAGCAAGTTCACTTGAGACAATCTCCCCTCTTTGCTAGACGATATAGGTGTCTCCAAGGTCAATGATGTTCGCTGTATTTTCAATATATAGAGCTGCTGATGGGATAATCTGTTTTGGTCTCTTAAGTTGTCTTAAAACCAGCAGATGGCCTCACGTTGTCGGAGGTCAGTTCCGATAATACGAATATTGAATTATTTATTATTATGATTAGATGTTAGGTTTTCAAATATTTTTTTTATGTTAATTTTTTCTTTATTCAAGAGTTATCGATATAATTTTCTTTTCATATATTGAAATATTTAAATCAGAAAAAGAAATCCATATCTTTATATCATTAAATATTGAAATATTGTATAAATACCATAATCAATTATTGGTTTTGTCATTATCAATTGTGATATATATATATATATATATATATATATATATATATATATGAGCAGTTCACGTAGTAATCCACTAAACATCTAATTCTCTTAATTTATATAAATGTATGTGTAGTATAAAGCAATTGTTTAAAACCTTTTATTTTTTCTAATCTAATAAGTGACAATTTAGAATTGAAGCATAATCTACAAAAAGAAAAAAAAAATTAGATGAACTCTTAAGATACAGGGTTAATAGCTTGAATTCATGGCCCATACAGAATGAATTCCATTTTGTGTGGTAAACCAATAACAACAACAAAATCTAGAATAGTCAGCGATCATTGTTCAAAACAGAAAGGAAGTATTTATTATATTTGAATGACTAGTCAATTCAAGATTCAAAACTTGGCAGAGACAATTTCTGATTCAAAACTTGGAATACTATTCAACCTCAATTCTCCTAATAATGCATTGCATAATGGTAAAAAATTTTGTTAATTAAAAATATATAAAAATAATTAGTACATTTAACATATTTTTAATGCTAAAGAGTCTATTATATTATTGTTATCATAATAATTCTCTTGTGTATAATATGGAACAAATTGATATAATATTTACTAACATATTAAATTATTTTTATTAAAGACAAACAAGTGAATCGTGTGCCAAAATGCCAAAATGACTATATATATATATCATTAATTGGATTAAAAACTACATAATTATGATTTAAATGATTGTTAACTAACCTCTTAAGCATGTAATTAAAAAATAAATAAATAAATTGATATCTATATATATATTGTTTATTATGATAGGATTCCTTCTTGCTTAACTAGCATTGTGGTAGAGCCATATATGAAAATCTCCTATATTTGTACTTTATTTATTTTGACTATTGAATTCTTATTATCGGTTTTAACCCATTAAATAAATATATATATAAAAAAAAAATCTCCTCAACTCTCACTCATAGCCCTCACAAGGAAAACAAAGAATGATCATGTTTGATTTGGGCTGGTTGCTTAGTCTATTTAGGGCTAGACTTTAAAGAGTATTGTTTTGTTTTTGTCCTGACTAACATTCCATGGGCCTTAATCTTGGGTTTGGAATTCATGGCCCATACTACTGAATTCCATTTTGTGTGGTAAAACAACGACAACAACAAAATCTAGATTAGTCAGCGATCATTGTTCTAAACATAAAGGAGGCATTTATTACATTTGAACGACTAGTCAATTCAAGATTCAAAACTTTGGCTCCAACCGTGCAAGAATTGCTACTAGTCTATACTCGTCTGGAATACCATTCAACCTCAAGACCCAGATCACCAAAACACTGCAGACTTCAGGATGGCTCCTCCAACCGTGCAAGAATTGCTACTAGTCTATACTCGTCTGGAATACCATTCAACCTCAAGACCCAGATCACCAAAACACTGCAGACTTCAGGATGGCTCCTCCAACCGTGCAAGAATTGCTACTAGTCTATACTCGTCTGGAATACCATTCAACCTCAAGACCCAGATCACCAAAACACTGCAGACTTCAGGATGGCTCCTCCAACCGTGCAAGAATTGATATTATTCAATGATTTTTCTATACTCGTTTCCTAATTTAACTGTGTTATTCTTCTCTTTCTCTTATAACCTAAACAAGCCTAATAAAAACATCACACACCGTTTTTGCCCTGACCTGAGCCGTGATTGACTGGTCACAAAACATGGAAAATGGATTCAATTATTTTAAGAAGACTTCATTATCCAATTATTAGTGGTAAAAATAGTAAAACCACTTTTGTCCATTTATGCCGCTTAAAAACAAAACTCTCCGTGTTAAACAGTCATTGTCTTCGATTAATTAAATGAAAACATGGTTTTAATCAACTAATCCCACCATCTTAAAAAGAAAATTGCAATGAAGCCAAAAACACCAAAATGCCCAACAACTTTACTTTATCCAAAGTCAGCAAGAACCCCTACGTCAACGCGAAGTTTACCAAAAAGCCGATTTCTTTCTATCATCAATCAATGGCGACAAGCAAGTGGGCCAATAAATCGAAGTTCCAAAGAAATACACTCTTTTCCCACGTTTCATTGTTCTTAACGTTTCAAGAAGGGAAAAAGTTCCATTTTTTATGGATTTGCACAAGTAGTTTTGTTTTGTTTTTTTCTTTCTTTTTTTCCTTTTAAAACACAAGCAATTTTAAGGAAAAGCAGTAGTAATCATGAGGGGAGAATTAACAAGACACGTGGAATTTCAAAATTGAATTTGAAGGTTTTTACTTTTTTTAAAAAATAATTTTGCATATTAAGATTAATTTCGTTTTTTATATGTATTTATTAATCTATATTTAGTATTGAATTAGTTTTAAAATAATAAAAATCCATATTCAAATAAAAAAAGGTTAATTATAATAATTAGAGGCATTAAATAAATCCTACTTTTATATTGCATACTAACTTATAAATTAGGTATAAAATACTTTTAAAAATTATCAAACAAAGTTGATTTGGATATAAAAAATTTTAATTATTTAAACAAGTGATTTGAATTTAAATTTTGTATCGTAAATTTTTTTAAGTAGTTATCATCATTTTATACTTTTGATATAACATTAAGAGATTAATCTAGATTTTTTAACATGTAAAAAGTTCTGTGGAATAGAATAAAAAAAGAATAGTATGAGTTTTTGATCTTAGTAAAAGAAAAATACTTTTAAAAAATTAGTTGTTATTTTCTTTTTATGAAAAAAATAAAAAAAGGAAGGACGACTTGGACATGAACCCAAATAATCAAACACAATTAAATCCCCTCTCTAAATCCAACCCCCACCACCACCTTCCTCACTCCCCTTCATCTCTCTCTCTCTCTCTCTCTCTCTCAACATCTCGCTTTACTCCCTGCACCAACACCAGCAAAAACCTCTCCATCTCCATTTCCTTGGAAGAAGAAACCAGCACCAAAGCGGAACCTCTGAACCTCTCTTAAACGACATCGTTCCACATGATCTGATATGGCCATAGCGGACCAGAGATCACCCAACGATAGTACTCACAACAACAACAATAATAAAGTGTGGGGATTCCTTAAGCTGCCGTTTTTAGGAGGAAACAACACTAATACGACACCCTCTTCTTCCACTTCTACCACTACTTCAACGATGATGATGCAGCAGAATCACCACCACCACCATAATCACCAACACAACTCGCAAATTGAAGGATCTAATCCTCCTCAGCCTTCCAATTCTGTTTCTTCTGTTGCTAGATCGCTTTTGCCTACACGTCGTCGTCTTAAACTCGATCCATCTTCTAAGCTTTACTTTCCTTGTAAGTCTTTGTTTTATTTGTTTATTTTTAAAATTTTTTATCTGATCTATTTGGTTTATATATATATATCTTTGGATAGAAAGTAGATTTTGTATTTTTAGAACGAGCTTTTGGATTAAATTGTGCTTTTTGTTGCTAATATTTTTGATAATTTTGAAGAAAAATCGAAAGTTTGAGATCATTATTTGTTATCGTTTCTTCTTAGTTGACCTTAAGTAGGATTTTGCAAATTCAAACTCACCCGTATGGATTGACTTGAAATTCTTCGAATAAAAAATAAAAAAATAACTCCAGATGGGTCAGAAAATTGCAAATGAAGCATTTACTTGCAAATTTAAATGTTAAGAATTCGATACTTTTAAGAAGAGAGAGCTCGAAAGCTCCGATTGACAGAGAGTTCAAAATTATTTCCATAGCTAAACTGGATAGCATCCTCTTTGCTTTGGAATTCATGCAGTGAAGTAATCAATGATAAGAATCGAGAGCTTGAAGTTCGATAAACTAAGAAGGAAGTCTTGTTCTAGAGGGTTTTATATGTTTCTATACGTTTGATACAAACACAACTGTAATCCATTCATTGATTTACAAGTATTCTAAGACATTTATAATCAATTCCCTGACTTATTGAATCATATAGAGTGGGTAATTTTTTTGGGATTAGTGATACATACAATTATATTTGTTTAGGAAAATATTGTTTTTCTTTATTTCTTGCTTCGTACTAATTGTGAATTATGTTGTGTAATTGATTTTCTGATGCAATAAACTCGATACTGCGTGATGATTTATTTATGTTCTGTGTGCTCTTATTTAGATGAACCTGGCAAGCAGGTCCGGAGTGCCATCAGGATTAAAAACACTAGCAAGTCGCATGTAGCTTTTAAGGTATATTTTAATTTCTTCTTCATTGTTTTTATGGTTCATGGAGTCCAGCCATTTAGGCTATATGGGTCACCTAGTTTCTTGTTGTAATTGATATTTTTGTTATTGTAACAAGTACATGACTGGATATTTTAATTAGTTGCTTGTTTTTTTCTTGATGTAGTTTCAAACTACTGCACCGAAAAGCTGTTTCATGCGTCCTCCTGGGGCTATTCTTGCACCTGGGGAAAGTATCATAGCTACAGGTAATTACTGTTGCATTTTCTGTTCATGTCATTGTGCTTTGAGAAGAATGTATCTTAGCTGTTTTTTGTGCTTTGTCACCAATTCTTACAAAATTATCTTCTTGATTTTGGATACCAGTCTTCAAGTTTGTTGAGCACCCAGAAAACAATGAGAAACCAATGGAACAGAAGAGCAGGGTTAAATTCAAAATCATGAGCCTGAAGGTGAAAGGGGTCATGGACTATGTACCTGAGCTGGTGTGTAGGACGGCTCCTTTAACTTTTGCTTTTTCATTAATTTAGCGTTTAATGTGAGCCGATGTTAGTCAACAATAGTCTGATAATAAATGATCTTGGTGGTATGCATTTATTTTGATATATTTGGACCTAATAGATATTCTACTTGGAGTGAGCATAATGTCATATTTCAAATTCTTCACACACAAAAGGCAATCTTCTTGGTTTCTGTTGAAGTTGATAGACACAATGAGACAGATATCCAAGGCATCTTTATGACCATTATCTTTGGCTGCAAAATGATTTCATTTAGTTTTATCTTTGTCAGGGGCTTCTCTGGTATGAAAGACATATTGCTAGTCTGCTCAATAATGTAAAGCTAGCAAGTATGCATAGGAGTGTTGTTTTATGACATCAAAGTCTCTAGGGCACCAACGCATCTCACCCTTACTGGATGGATGTTTATCTTGTGTTGAAAGCTGGATCCCAGTGGTCATTTTACACTTGTTGGTTCTGGAGAATCTGTGCCCTTTTTTTTTTTTTGGCAGAATAATAATAATGATAGATTTTGGATTCAATTATATCTTGTGTTGGCTGGTTGCTATTGTTTGATGGACACTTCAGAATATCTTTACAAACTGCTTTGGTCTATTTGGAACTTTATTTTGTTGTTTGAATCTTCTGTTGCAACTTTTTGAAGTGACTTTAGATGCTTTGTCGCTGCAGTTTGATGAGCAGAAAGATCAGGTAGCAATAGAGCAAATATTACGGGTTGTTTTTCTAGATCCAGAGCGTCCTACTACTGTAAGTATTAATAATATGTCAATAATATGCATTTTCTTGTGTTTGACATGTACGACGAACAAATTCATAGAATGACCTGTGATCTTATTTTTAAAGGCTTTGGAAAAGTTGAAGCGCCAATTGGCTGATGCTGATGCAGCTGTTGAGGCACGCAAGAAACCTCCTGAAGATGCAGGTCCAAGGATTATCGGTGAAGGACTGGTGATAGATGAATGGGTGAGTTATGAGGTGTTGTGCTTCTCAATTTTTCCTAATGCAATTCCCTTTTTGGTTCCTAATCTTCGTCCATTCTTTTTTTACAGAAAGAGCGAAGAGAAAGATACCTTGCTCGGCAGCAGGTTGAAGGAGTAGACTCTGTATAGAGTGGCAGTTGTCTTCAAGGTGCCTTTGTGTATGATGAATGAAATTTATACACTCCACCATTCAGTAAATTCCTCCAACCTTTTCATGTAACGCAAAGGATATTGTATTCGGAAAATCATGTATGAAACTTCAACATGGTGTGTAAAAAGAAAAAAATGTGAGATGAATTCTGTGATTTGAGGTGCTAAAACTTTTCTCTCTCTGTAGATAATTGTGATTTTGTTTTCCTATTTCAGAAATAAACTGATCTTTACTCAATGTAATGCGCATAATTTCAATTTTAATGAGTGTTATTACGGGGATAAACATTCAATGAGGTGGAAAATCGGATCTCAACACTTGATTTTTTTTTTTTTTTTTTTTTCCTGTCTGTGATGTCCTTTGAGATACCATGATATTTCCACCGCTGTTGGTATGTGATGTGCATGATTAACCCTAATTGTCTGGAATTCTGTGGTCTCCTATTGATCACCATATTCGAAACTCGCCTTGGCCCATGAGCAGCCTGTGGTACCCACACCCTGGACAGGACCCGAGAAGGACAGCAAAACCGGGTGGCCCTCAGCTAGGCATCTCCAAACTCTTAGCTGTTTACAAGTATTCTTTGCTTTTTTCAATTTTAGCTGCTCCACCGTCTCCTCCTTTCTTCTTGTGGTCCTGGTGGACGCCACACCCTTTTAAAAATATATCCAAGGTAATTTTTTTTTTATTGTAATAACAAAATTTCGTAACAAAAATATCTATACTGTGAGAGTACTAAAACGGCATTGAACAGGTTCATTCTCATGCCCAACTAGAGCCTGTAGACATTAACCTGGAGAAATTCTACTTTCTTAGCCATCCAGTTCAAATCTCAGATCAGGCCCACTATAAATAAAATTCTCATTAATCTTCGCGTGAAGGACCTGTTTTAAGCAAAGCTGAGAGGTTTACAGTCTTGGTGTGAATGGTAAAAGCTGTTGCCGTAAAACCAAAAAATCTGTTCGCTGTCTGATAAACTGTAGAGTGAAAAATCATGATGCTCTTGAAGTTTAACCCCCCAAATGCTGGATCGCAACTGCGGCTCCTAACAGTACAAGAGCTAGTGATTATTGAGAGAGAAGTTAGAACTGAAAGTTAATCAAGGCACTAAGAGACGAAAAGTTTTGGTTGCATTCTTTAGCCGACTTGTTTTACGTTTGCTGCCAGATGCATGAATTGGCAGATAAGATTTGCCCTAGGCATTGATTGGACATCACCAATGGATACAAAAGACCCCCGCAAATGGAAATTCCAGAAAACCATGGCTTCCATTGCTGGATTTGCTTCCGTTGTATTTTCTAAACCGCCTCTTTGGTGAACTCACGCTGTTCAGTCACTCCTTATTTATACGTGCAAGCTAATCCTCATCTTTTGTAAGAAAAAAGAAGAAGATAAAAGACAACAGAGTAAGAGAGGAACTTCATTGAGAAGCAAAAAGAATTGAAGGAAGATGAGTTATTCGAGCAGAAACTGCATGGAAGCTAGTTTGGCTGGCATTGAAGGCCAGACAAATCATGGTTCTAAATCAAACTCCACCTTTCACTCTTGGAATTCCAGGAAGAAAAGCTACTTCTCTGCTGGTAATGGGGGTGTTGCAATTGATGGAGAAAGCAAGAGAAAACAGGCTGAAGAGTCCTTTCAGAGAGTGATGTACTTGAATTGCTGGACACAAGGTTGCTAGCTGAGTATTAACTTAGCCAGTCTCGTTGCCAATCTTGTAGCTAGCGGTGATAGTTAGCATTGCTGCAAAGATGTGTACTTCCTTAATTTGTTGAAATTCTAAAGAAATGTAACATGAAAGGGCAAGTCCATCAAATATTTGCATGTAAAAGTTCCGCGAATTTCAATTTTCTGAAAGAAGAGAAGCAGAAAAAAGTTTGAAATGATTGATCTTGGCAATGGCATGTTAGATTTTCAAATGCTTTCTAATGGGAATAACAGACATATTTCCTTACTCATCAGTGTAATATTGAATAGAGACAGACCAAGAGTCTCGATCAAACAAGAGGGAGATATAGCTGTTTTGAAGTAAAATTTTCAGACATGTTCTCCAACCCTTTTTTTTACTTCATAAAAACGTGTTCTAATCTAGTTTATTAAGGAAAGAACCACATGTGCACTGATTTTGTTGCTTGCTCAGGAACCTTACATGGATTTATGGGCTTATTTCAGTACCTCCATGTTTGGGAGAAAATGGTCCTTTTCTGTACATTGCATACAATACTGGGCCTGGTCTGAGATGAAATATGGGTGCTAATTAATTTACAAGCTCGTTGAGTAATGAGCTCGAATAGTTGCTCCAATAGAATTGGTCATTCTCTCCAACACACCATATTTTTTGTCTCAACAGATCATTTTTCTTTTACGATCGATTTTTCAATGGTCTAATCTTGAATTCAAAATCCCAAATGATCTCTAAGATACCAAAGCAGCCAGTAACTATATAAGCAAATTAAATGTCCTTGGCATCTGCTCACGTAAATGGCATGCATGAGGATTGAGGTGGGTTACCATTGTCAATGTCTCAAGAAGACATCCCAACGAATTTGCAGATCACTTGCCAGTTTTGAACTCAATAAATTCTATCTAGATGTTGAGTGGGGTTAATGGATTAACGGATCTAACCATTTTAATACGCGAGACTCCTTAGTGTTGTTAAAAAAAAAAAAAAAGTTATGATTTATAAGATGCTGTTCTTGAAGCTAGCTCCAAAAACTTACTATATATAAATGTGCATGTATTTAATTTTGGTGGTGGAAATGAATTACATGTGAAGATAAATGGAAATCGATAGGGGCCAGGCCATACTCTTATTTATTAGTTGATCACAAGACAAGTGGAATGCGAGCATGATTACCACTGGCATGGACATTTTCGAAAAAATCTTTATGGCTGGCAGATTTTATCCATGGGTTTCACGTATACTGAAACTTCATATATTTCGAATTCTTTTATTTATATCCTAAATATTTTATTCAATTTAATAATTCTATATATTGCTATTTTTTTAGATTTTAATATATAACGTAAACGGATGTGATAAATTCTAACTAATAACGACTTGTCATGATACCAATTCAATCATTCAATTTGAACTTATCTTAAGATATGACAAGTTATTACGTTATTGGATAGATTTTGCCATAGGTGTTAACGTGGCATATTAGAATATGAAACAATAATAAAATAAGTGTAAAACTCTCAAATTGAACGAGAAAAAAATTTAATATCTCAATTAAAAAAATTTGAATTGTACGAAGTCTCGATATATGTAAAATTATTTTATTAAGTATTCAATTATGTGGGATTGTTAATTTATAAAAATAAGGTTAACCTTCTTCAATCAGATTTGGCCACTTGATGCTAGGTATAATATTTTTTATTTAAAATGTTCAGATCTTTCTAAACTGTTTTTACTTATCAAAACTAAATTTATATTCAAACAATTTTAAATAGTTAGCGATATTAAGATTAATTATTGATGGAGTAAATAGTTTAATTTGTTTATATATAATATACTTGGGTCTTTAGTTTATTTTTACGTTTATAATTGCATCTATTATGTTACTAATAATGTTTAAGTCTCAAATATGTTATTTTGATTTATTTTTTCAGTTATGGGTAAAAAATTTTAACCGAAATACTCTTGATTCAAATATAAGAACAAAACAAGAAGAAGAAAAAACGGACCGCTTAAAGTTACATAACCTCATGTTTTATTTTTGAAGTCTTTAAAAATTTTTATTTGCATTTTATTTAGGAGAATTTTAATAAATTTCCTACGGTGAAAAAATTGATTGAAAACACATTTTAGAGATTTGGATATTATTTAGAAACATAATAAACGTAATTAAAAACATACATACATATTAAAGACTCAATCTACTATATAATAACAAATTAAACCATTTACCCTTATCTATGAAAAACCTTATTCTTATGGTTGTTGTTTTTTTTTTTTTTTTTTTGGGTCTAAGCTCAAATTTGAAATAACAATATTATATATATAAAAAAAGACATTTATACGAGAACCAACATTAAAAAAAAAAAAAAAAAAAAAAAAAAAAAGCATATGATTCCCAATTTCTTTACCTAAAAAATGAGAGAGAGAGAGAGAGAGAGAGAGAGAGATAATGAGAAGGACAAGTAACCAAGAAATAAATTCCACTTATCCATTATCTATCCAATCCAAAAACATATCCGTTAAGGGATATTAGAGGAGAGGCGAAAACGTCCTGGTACAATTAAAGAGTAGCTAGTCATGCGATTCTCCTTTTGTTTCATTGCAAGAGCGTGACCAAATTGATTGTAATCTCTCCCTTTTCCTTCAAAGTTGTTGCTTGTGTTATCCATTTGGTACCATTTTGATTCAATTCACCGTTACGCTTGTCACCGAAAGATGTTACAAAGTGGTAGTTAGTGACGGTAAAAGAGAAAAAATGCTACTCATAAAGCATGTGAAACTTGATTCTCCACTTGTCATAAAGTTGCGAATTTTGGCAATGTTTCATCCATTCATTTGCAGTGAAATGCCACCCATCTTCTATCCCTCCGTCGCATTGCCCTAATCATCAATCAATCCACTTTTATTTTAAAGGTGGATTAGAGGTTCCATATCCACCACATCTACGAATGAATTCAAAAATTATAACTCGAATCTCAATTGACTTCTTAATATATATATATATATTTTATCTCAATTGGATATTTGATTAGAAAACTTCATAAATTTGTAATTTTGTATCAATTTCTCTACAAAATGATGTCATTTTCTGTGCATAAATGAACAATTTGAATGGAAACCCACTAAATCATTTAAGAATTTTAGGACCTTTTGCGGACTTGAGCGAGATAAAAAATATATTATTTGGGGACTCAATTGAGAATCCCTCTATAGTTAGAGGAGTTATTTGAGGTTTACCATTCAATTTTTATCTTAGTGAACAGGTGAAAAAATGGAATAAAGATGGAAGATGTTTAGGGCTCAAAGGAAATCTATTTTTAAAAAAAAAAAAAAAAAAAAACAGTGAAAAACTTTGGCACATTGCTTTCAAAGATTGTCTTTAATAAACTAAAACTAAGAGATTTTGGAGGAAAAGTCATCTCCACCGCATCTGGGCCCGTCTCTAGTGGTTGCTAGAAGTCAATATCCATCATGTCTACTAACCATTATTTAACTCTGCAATGGGCGGCGATTGGTTCTCAATTTCATGTCACTGACAAGCAATAGTGCAAGAGAACGAAGCTGATGACATAAACTCAATTTGACTCTAAATTAATTACCCCATTTCCGCCGGCCAATGTGATTAATCTTGATGAAATTTCCAAATTAGAAAGACAAACCTCTCAAATTTGCTAATAAGTAGTATAAACACTTTGTGATTGAGATTTGAGATATTGCTTAATTGTCAAGAATTGCAGAGATAGATCATGAGAATACTTTGGCCCTTCATGTCTTGGACAATCTTCGGGATCAATGATCTCCACACGCATAATACATTATTTGTTGTTTAGCTCAAGTAACCATATGATAAGGACATTGTTCTCTGTCTCATCTATTATACTAGAAAACAACACTTAATAATAAAGTAGAATTTCATATCATTTCTTTGTTTTGTTTTTGTATCATATTTTCCCCTTCTCAATCATAGATGACGCGTAAGAGAAGAAACAAATCACAGGGAATCGCCGAAAAAAGGAGCTGTATTTTAACAAAATAATCAAAATTATTGGCTGAAGGTGCATGCATAATCAAATAGATCGTTATTGGCCTTCATAATTGATGCAAAATAAGTTACATGTTGCAACGGAAGAAATTATTTGTGCATTAAAAATGGTTTCCACACAATAGATTCATTCTTCTTATCTATACATTGGAATTTTTGCTGACAAAGCTCAGGACACTTGTAATCTGAGACAAATTTCAGAACTATTTCATACTATAATTTTTGAACTTGAAATCAGTAGGGTATGTACTGCTACCAAAAATCAAGAGAGCTCAACTACACAATCTTTGGACCTAGTCCTCCCTTGCTCATCTCATAGTCTCCGCCATTGGGATAATCTTCCCCGGCAACAAATCTTGACCAGAACCAGTGTGCCTTCCATACTTGTCCCATCTCTTCAATCGGAATGCCCTTTGTCTCAGGCAAGAAGTAGTAGACAAAGATGGACATGAGCACCACAAAGAACGCAAAGAAGAGGAACAGCCCGAACTTCAAGTGGCAAAGCATTGTTAGGAATATTTGGGCAACGATGAAAGTGAAAAGCATGTTCACAGACACATTGACACTTTGCGCAGCAGATCGGATTTCCAATGGGAAAATTTCACTTGGCACCAACCATCCAAGAGGACCCCAAGACCATGCGAATCCAGCGACGTAAATACAAATGAAAAGCACCACAACTATAGCGTACCACTTGGGCAATTCACCAGGGTTCCCATCAGTTCCAAACTTGGCTCCAATACAAGCTGCTACCACTGCCTGCACATACACAAAAGTTGAACAAAAAAATTTTAAACAACGGACAATTGAAAAAACAATCACAATCATCATCGTAGATCACGATTTACTATGATACTAAAATAACGATAACAAAATACTTCGAAACTGTTATATAATGACCGTTATTTAAAATTATTTTTAGAAACACATAATTAGAAAAAAGAAAAATACAAGTACTCAATTTCCATGTTGCTTACTTGGCATATCAACATCTGAACACCACCTTCAAGGAAAAGAAACCTTCTTCCCCATTTATCAACACCATAGATCGAAACCATGGTGGCAACAACATTAACAATACCAGTGATCACAGCAGACATGAGTGAAGCATTGCTACCAAAACCAATTGTGTTGAACAAAACAGGAGCGTAAAACATGATGACGTTAATGCCGGTTAGCTGCTGAAAGAAAGGAATCATTATGGCCATAGTTAGGTGAGGCCTATACTTTCTCTGCAACAAATTTCTCCAAGGATGTTCTACTTTCTTTGAAGCTTCACTAGCAGCAATAAGGTCATTAAACTCCTCGTCAACATCATCGACACCACGAACTCTTTTCAGCTTCGTTCTAGCCTCGTCGTGCTGGCCGCGTTCGATCATGGAGTTTGGTGTGTCTGGAAGGACTAATGAACCAACTGTGATTATAAGGGCAGGAACCATAGCACCACCCAAGCTCAATCTCCATCCCCAACCACCATGGATTTTAGCAAAGAAATAGTTCAACACGTTGGCAACAAGGATACCAACTGTGATTGATAACTGAAAACCAATGTTGAGCGCTCCTCTGAACTTGTATGGAGCCATCTCAGAGAGGTAGAGTGGCACAGACTGTAATTACAAACAAAAACGAAAGTAATTAAATCTCTAATCACCTTTTTTACTAAACCAATTAAGAAACAATCAACTTGGAAGTATCGAACGAAACTTCGTCTTTCTTGGGGACCAGACATTCTTGTCTTGTTTTTCATGTTTCTTGGATTACGAACAGATACTACTTTAAACACACAAATCAAATAAACAAAAGAACAAAGCAGAAACTGCAGTTTTCCGTAATTAATTAAGTTAAATTAACAATTAAGCAGCTATCAAGTTACAATTTTTCTATTCAAAGCTGTAGCATCAACAGGTAAACTTCTGTGGAAAAAGGTGCCAAAGATGTCATGTCAAAAAAATCAACACGGCAACAATGACTTCAAAAGATAATAAATAATAAAGTACCTCACTCTGTCTTTTTTCTTATCATTCAGTTCAATTCTTTGACTTCATTGCTATAGACTATATAGTAGCGGGAAATTTGGATCCCCTTATTTACTTTTTTCTTCTTTCTTTTCCCTTTTATTCTCTCTCTACTTTTTTTCTCAGCAACCAAACACAGCATTAAATCCTGTTTAACTTTAAAGTACTAGAGGCCCATTTCTGGATCAGAAACAACTGGGTATAAAAAACATGTTTTTATCATTTTCCAAGAAACCCACTTGTCTGACCAGTGACCAGGACTTAAAAACCAACCAGAAAAAAGAACAGATCTAGCCGAAAAAATAAAAATTCTAATATGCAAGAAAATAAAGATGGCATCCTTTAAAACTCAAAACCCAGAAAGATTCCATTGGAAACAATGAAATTTTGTACAGAAAGAATAAAACATGTAGCACATTTTGTTTTTGCTTCTTTCTATATGATAAATCACAAAAATAGAAAATAAAAAACAATCCCAGAATATACCCACCTCCAGATCCAAACAAAACAACCCCTTAATCACAAGCAACTAAAAATCAAACAAGAATCATACAAGCAGAAAAATATCAATACCTGATTGGCAAAACCTATACCAAAACCAAGCAAGATTCTACCAAGAATCAGCATCCATACAGCTTTAGCAGCACCATTTATGATGGCACCAGCACAAAAGAGAACACCTCCAAACAACATGGAGAGTTTCCTTCCAAATTTACGAGTAATTGTGGATGCCACAATTGATGACGATAAAGCAGCCAAATACAGAGAAGAAGTGAACATGGTTAGTGTTTGGCTATCATATTGACAGTACTGGTTTGTTGTCGCGTCTTGCTGCTGTTTACGGTAAACAGATGGAAAAAACTTCCTCAAGAATGATGGCATGGACGTAACACCACCTACAAAACCACGAATCCACTTAACAAAATAGAATAAAAAAAGAAACATTCTTGAAAGTTATATTTGTAGAAAATACATTCCAGAATGAAACAAGAAAAGATAAGCATTCTTGAAAGTTACTTCCTACTATATTCTTGGTTTCTTTCATAAAAATTCAACTGACAAAATCAAGTTTTTAAGCATTAAAATTGATCTAAGAAGATTTACCAGAAATCCCAATATCGTAACCAAAGATCAAACCACCCATGGCTGCAACAATACATGTTACAGTGACAAAAGGAGTAAGGTTGCCCGGATACTCCTTTTTGTTGTCACCAACAGCTATCCCTACTGCAGGCATTTTTGCTCTTTTTTTGCCTCGACTATTCAAAGAAGAAGATAAAGAAATAAATTATCAGAGTGACAGAAACAAGAAACCAAGAAATGGTAGCAAGTCTGTAAGAGAAAGAAGACAGAGTTTTTAGACAAGCTTGGCCAGTGTATTTATAGAGGGAGATTGTCAAATTGTTTTGATTAACAAGAATTGTTGAGCTGTCAAAAACTAATTTTTTATTTATAAATCAAAGTTTATTAATATTTTTTTTAAGTGCGTACGCATTTTGAAGATAAGATTATAAGAGAGATAGAGTAAGGTCTAAACATATTAAGCTAGAATACTAATTATTTTTTATTTTTTTCCCTTTTTTTTTCAAGTTTCTTTAGCTATCTACCGTTGGATGGTCCTACAAATTTGAGTTCACACAAATTTAATATCCATATATCTATGGTGAGGTGGGGACAATTTTTGGCCCATATAAAGAAAAACAAAAAAAATCAAAGTTGTCATTATTATATCTTCATTAAATTCAAAGAAATTGATTCACAAAAATTTATTCAATACCATTGCCAATTCCACTTGTTTGTAGGCTACATGCCCATGTTATTTACAAATAAAATCAAAATATATATTTTCCATAGCCGTTCATGTTTGTTTTGTTTTATATATTATCATATAGTATTTTCAGAATAATTATCCCATAGCACAATTGAATTCACTAATTCTATCAAAATTATAAAATTTATGACATTTTCTATATATATATATATATATATATATATATATATATAGTTTTGTCCATAGCTTTAAATAACTATTATTATATTATATTATATAATGATCTTTTAGAATATTTTATTATCATTGTTTTATTATTATAGTAAATTATGATCAATAATAATTATTATAATCGTTTTTTCAATCGTTTAATATTTAAAACTATAATTTCATCTTAAGCTAGAATCTTGACGTGAAGAGGGGAATGCATTGCAGAATAGAGAGGAAGAGAAGAAATGGGTGAATGTTGGTGGGAAAAATTAATTTACAGATTCATCATGCTGAGTCAACAAATTTTGGCAATTCACCTAATTAATCTTATCAATGTTTGGATAATGTTGTGGAAACACGTCGGCCATACTTTACAAGCATTGCCAAATAGAAAGTGGAGAAAACGTGATTTTTAAGTACTTTACAGCAAAGTTTATACCATGTGATTCTACTAAGTATATACCATACATATACATGCATATATACACCTTTTATGGTATTCTTTTTGTTAAACAATTAAAGGGTCTTAATTAATACGTACTGGGTTTTGCACTAAGAGTGGTGATTCTGTAATTGAGAGAAGTATGAGGGGTGTTCATGTCTTCAAGTTACTTGGTTTCCAAAAGAGTACTTATGCTGTCAAATTTCCTGAAGGATGATGGTTGAAGCAGTTCTTGAGCTGAAAATATTGCTTTTTTCTGACAACAATTTAGCGATTCCAATTTCACTGTCAGGCTTCTGTTGTTTTTAAATTTTATTATAGGCACCATTCTGATTCTAGAAAGAAAGAAACAAAAGAAACTTCTATCCCTTCTTTTATTCTGGTGCAGAGAATAGAGACGATGGTAACTTTTATAGGAATGACCTTAATTGTGCATATTTATCACTAATCCTTAATTAAGAATCTTTTACCAACTAGGATAGCTCCCATTAATTCCAATATGATCATGTTAATTAAATATGGGATGCTTTTAACGTTAGAGTTGTCATTGTTAGTGAGGTGTTTAATTTCAGAGGAATGGTTTTGTCAATATATATATATATATATATATATATATATATATATATCAATTTTTAATATTTATAATTTACTATTGGTACTTGTGGATATATTAAGGAGTACCATAACTAATCATCTACTATTTGGAATCCATCGTCCTAAAACATGACATACTTTTATCAATCACTAGATCACTCTTTTCAAATTTAATATAAAAAAATAATTTAGATATAACTATGAAGGGACGTGGTTTACTGGTAAATGAGTTATTTTAATTTAATCAAAATTAACATTCAATTCTAATTATTCACAAATAATTAGTTGTAATTATTTTTTAATAATATTAAATTTGAATTTATTTGGTTTAAAAAGCAATCCACTAGCCCATAAAAGATTATACGTGTTTTGATCCTAATTGAGCTTAAAAAATAATAAATTTAATTTTAATAGATATAAAATCTGATTTAAAAATATCTCACTGTATATAAGATAATTTAGATATTACAATCTGAAAATAGGTGAAAATAAGACCATTGTTCCCATCATGGCTTTACTCCCCATTTTTCACCATCCGCTGCCCTTGATAGAAGATGTACAATTATCAATGTTATGGCACCAACTCCATACTTAGTATTATAAGAATATAAATGTAATGTTTTTTGTTTTCAATGTAAGATTTTAACATGTCACATGAGAGTTCAATTCTTGTCCAGTTCTACTCTGTGACAAAATGATGGCGACAAAAATTCAGATACTATACATGACACCTATTAAGAAATGAGCTTGATACGTATCTGCATCCTTGATCTTCATTGTGAGATTCTATATCATAATAACGTAAAAAAATAAATCTGAAGATTTTATACCCTATTGTTTTGTCATACCTCATGGCTTTTATGCTCTGTGGATGCCTATGTATTTGTTGGTGACATGTGACTGATAAATATTTTACATAAAAAAACAATAAACTAATTATATATAACATCAATTCATATTTTATTAGTTTTAACTCTTACATTGAAGTAATTATATATAATATCAATTCATATCTCATCAGTTTAAGCTTTTAGATTATAACGGTGTTTATTATTATATATAAGCCTCTGTGTGTGTAAGTTCATGTACAAGCTCAACTGATTCTTAAGTACAAATCTTTCCAAATGATATTAAGATGATAATTTGGCTTAGCACAAGTGGATACGATAAGTGTTTTTGCATTGCCAATGACACAACATTGGTTGGGATAAGCAGGAAAATAGCATGGATTAAATTTTACAGTTGGTTCTCTTACAATAAAAGCAAAGAATTAATTGGACTTTTGGATGGAAAGCGTAGTAAGATGTGGCTTTTGAATTAAGAGCTTATGACAAGCTGAAGCATGTTCTTGAAAGAGTGGTGATTTCTTGTTGGTGGTAATATAATGTTAGAGTGATAAATATATCACGTTAAAAAAATGAGAAAAAAAATGTTTATACATAAAATGAATTCATAAACTTTTTATGTAAATTTTTAAATTAAAAAAAATATTTATTCGTATCTGTAGACTCATATGTACATAAGCCCAGATGACTTCCTAGTATAGATCTTTCCAACAAAATATAGGGAACTTGCATTCTTTCATCTTTAGTATAAAGAGAGAAAAATAGCATGCCTTAGACTTTAGGTTAAAAAAATTATTCCCTATTTCAAATCCAAATGTTAGTCTTTCTTTTCCCTATTTTTACACTCCACTTTTTATTTTTTTATTTTTTTAACCTTACCTCTTTATGTGGCCCAAATAGACAACATTTAGGATCTTTCAAGTAATGTTAACAAATTTTATTTGAACCCCATTCCTTGATTTTGTAAAATTTAATCCTTAATTAATTGTCTTGATGAGCTGCATTTTCCCAATGCCTTTAACCTTCTTTGCTTTTTGAGGCTTACCTTTTACCTCTGTTTGAATATAGTTATTTTTATTCACGTGAAGATGAATTCCCTATTTCAGAGAGCATTGGCATCTAGTAACTTCTTGAAATACCTCAATACACTCGATTGCGGCACATCCATGTGATCTTCTCTACATATCTACTGTAAATTCACATGGGACAACGAATTTCATTAGTGACCGTTAGGTATGAGAATGTTTAAGATTATTTACGAAAAACAATTTGAGATGCTAAACATTTTTTCCGTTTAATAAGTCAAGAAATCTCGAATTTACAGAAATTTCAAATGTCTTAAAACATTAGATTCCTAGTAAAGGTGGGTGTGATTCCCTTTAAAATGGTAAGAATTTGAGACGCCAAGGCATTCAATTTTTTTTACTTAAATATTCCTCTTTTATTTATATATTAAAATGACTAGCACACCCTAATTTCAATTGATAATAGCACAAATACTTTTGATACTTAATTTATATGTATTTATTAAAAAATAAATTCCAACACTTAATATACATTTTGAAAATTCTAATATAGTACCAAAACGATTACCATAATGTGCAAGTTATGTAATTTGTTAGTAGACATTTATTTTATTTAGTAATTATAATTTACAAAGTTAAATTTATTATTATTATTATTATTTTAGTTTTAAACATAAGTAATACATGTGTTAATTAATGTTCCAAAAACAAATATCCTATGTTCAAATTAGATACTTGAATTTTTAAGGTTAAAATAATAAACTTTATTGCATTCTTCATGAATTTCTAATCATGAACCGAACACAATAATCATCTGTTACTAGAAAATTTTATTTTCAATTACATTCCAGCATACATTTAAGAATCCGTATACTTAACATTCTCTAAATGGTTATTCAATTTTCTTGACAAAGAAAGTATTTACGTAAATGGTTATGCCATGTGAATCTGTTTGTTCCTTTCTCTAATAGACATTAAAATTAAGATTGAAAGTGAAAAGTTAATAAAAGTGATTGCCAAATGTTCCAAATCAAGTTTTGGATGTCAGTTGCAACCTTTTTTTTTTTTTTTTACTTAAATATCCTTATCCTATATCATATATATGACTAATATTATTCGAAATGAAAAAAATAAAATTTAACTTTTTATAATAAATAAAGTTTTAAAATTTAAATTATGTATATTAATAAAAAATTGATTTAAAAACCATATTGTTTTTCACAGTACCAACAATTTATTATATGGGCATGATCATAACATTATTTGATGATATTCATGAAAGCATCAGGCCCTTGCTAAGGACATGTCGTAGAACCACCTTCCCATTGTCTTTCCTTTAGGACGTCTGTC